TGCCATTCACCAAAGCAATAAATCAAGATTTGGCGTTTGAAGTTGACGTTTGGCGTATAAATTTCATGCTTTAACGATTACAAGCCCTCGTAGCAGTTCCAGCATGAAATTTATACGCCAAACGTCAACTTCAGACGCCAAATCTTAATTTATTGCTTTGGTGAATGGCATGACTAGTGGTAAATTTGCTTTCTTAAATCATTGCTAAAGAGCACAAGTTTAATAAGTTTAACATATTTCAAAACTGGTGTAAAAGCTATAATAATAGAGTTGTAAAATCAAAAACTTCGCTAGCGGTTTGACGTTTGCCGTAAACGTCAATCTTAAGGTCTCTAATGTCAATTCGACATTACGCGTGGCAACATGAATATGGAGGTGGCCCCTAGCTAACATGTGTAATTGTTTAAGCATAAATTAGAACATTTTGGTTAACATGTTACGTTTCTATTTTCATGAATTTGGTGTGTACACTACGGATACATTTAACCTCGGTTCATATTCAAAGTTCAGATGCCGATGCTGAAAGATTTCGTGATCAAAATCAGTGTGTCACAGCAGCTTTTTGTAGCGTATTTTACAAATTGAAGTCTTAGATGTGCCAACGGTATCGAACTACTATATTATAAAATTTTATTGAAGGGTATTGTAGATGGAAATTATCGAGCGGGAATTTATAACGGTATCGAACTACTATATTATAAAATTTTATTGAAGGGTATTGTAGATGGAAATTATCGAGCGGGAATTTATATACATTTATATATTAGACCTAACCAGGAACAGCTACGAAAAATGCAACATTTGGTCCTTGGCAGGAATTGAACCTGTGGCTTTCTGACACCGGTGAAGTGCTCTAACCAACGGAGCGCTGCAGCTAGAATCGCTGCAGCTAGAATCGCTGCAGCTAGAATCGCTGCAGGTAGAATCGCTGCAGCTAGAATCGCTGCAGCTAGAGTCGTTGCAGCTAGAATCGCAGGGCTGCAGGTTCAATGCCTGCCAGTGACCTAAAATTGCATTTTGCGCAGTTGTTCCCAGGGACGCCGGAACTGGGGGTGGGGGAGCAGGAGGGGCAGCTGCCCCTCTTGCCCTTTACCAGGAGGGGCAAGGGGGGCGAAGGTGGTCTTTTGATTAAATGGAAAATATTTGTTATTAATAGAAAGAATTTGTTCTTGTTATTATACAACTATATAAACTATATGATATAACAAACTTTTGCTGGAAAACTGTTAGAAACTCATTAACTGGCAAGCTGTTACAATGTTTCCACCCCCTAAAGTGGCAAGCAGTATGGCGAATTCATTATTGAATTCCAAGCTTTCACCAAAATGGCAATATCTCAGAAACAATTGCATAACAAAGTCTGATATTTTCAACCAAACATGAGTAATATATCATTGACCAAATTTAGTTTAGATGACCTTGCATACCTATATATATCATTAGTTTTTTCAATGAGAATTTATACTAGACTGCGAGCGGTCCCTCCTTTCCGCGGGTTTAGATTTCCGGGCACGAGAAAGGAAAGGAGGGACTGCAGACAACACAGTCAAGAAATGAGACCGCGTTGCCCACACAACGCAAAATTTCCATTGGTCGAAATCGAGTACGCCTGTCAATCAAATCTGATATGTAGTGATTATGCTATAAATAATTTCCAGAGTGAATGCTGATTTTATACAGGGTGTGTCAAAACAAAAGTAATCGAACGTCAGCGCGCTATTGTGTCTGAATTACTGCGTATGAACGAGATTTTTTTATCTTCGGAAAGATCAGGCTTTTAGCTGTTGAATGATATGTTCTTCATGCCAAATGGATGAAAAATAAGCAAGTACGAGTCTGATAAAAAATGCTAGTCAGATCGCATATTTTCACCGTTGTAATATGCGATTCTGACTAACATTTTTTATCGGACTCGTACTTGCTTATTTTTCCTCCATTTGGCATGAAAACATGTCATTAAACAGCTAAAAGCCTCATCTTTTCGAATATGAAAAAAAAATGTTCATACCGGCCCAAGTAATTCAGGTACAATAGCGCGCTGAACTTCGATTACCTTTTTTTATACACCCTGTAAATAAACATGACATTAACGGTTTCCTATTGGATAGATTTAGAAACTGGGCATGTTTCTTCTGCCTTATTTACGTATGAGAAACCTAGTAATGATCAAGCAATGGCTGTATCCAAGTGTGTTGGCCACTTGGCCCATCTGTATCAAAGGTTGTGTCGCTTGTTGACAACTGTTTTAAGCAGTGGCGAAGCCAGCGTCGTGTGAGTGGTCATGCAAACGAGCGCCGAAGGCGTGAGACATCCTAGGGGGGTCCGGGGGCATGCCCCCTGGAAAATTTTTGAAATATATACCCCAGAAACGCCATTTGCAGCAATCTGAGCATCAAATTTCAGAAAATAGCTTGATCTAATGACGGGAAAATATGTGGATATTTTGGCATATTTCAGACAACAATAATGAAGATCGACACAAAAATAGGAAATCTGTGTCTGCAGTTCCGCTAATTATAGTCATACCGGCAATTGTGCATTTCTTTTCGATCAGAAAATATTACATGGATGTTCTGTATTATCATAGTCTGTATAGACTACCTAATTGCTATCCCCTTGTAGTATTCCAACGTGAAGTCTGAAGAGTTTTCACATTTCCAGAACTAGATACAATTTTATCCACATATACTAACGGAACATAATGACAAATAGCTGCTAATACAGTCAGTATAATCTAGAATATAGGTATAATATGCAGGACTTGGAAAATATAACGCATGAGCCTTGATCAATTTCCTTAATTTAAAATCAATCGCCCAATTATTACAATATTACATACAGAAATGAATTAAGCATTATCAGATGTTTGAGTAGAAGTTTTACTGTCAGTTTTATAGCCGAATTCTGCATTCATATCGATTATTGGCTATTGCCAATATTGGATATTTTCGAACGCACGGGGAGTATGTACCAAATGGTAAATACAATTTAACAATATATATTGAAATTTCTTTGTTTGTTTCACAAACAAGTATATATCAAATATGTTGCTAAATCACAATCGCTAAAATGTTTGTGTTGCGTGTTGAAATGTATAAGCTTTGCAGCGCTATTTATAGAACTACATTGTTTACTACATTGACCTCGACATTGTATTTCATATAGTATATAGCGTTCGATGCTTTATACGCCTATGCTCGGGTTGAAGGCTTAAATATTCAAGACAAAATACATGTAACAATAACTAAATACCAATAGGCAATAGCTTATTTAGCCTCAGCCTGACTGGCTAAGCCATTCTTTCTTTGAATACCACGGCATTTGAAAACCTTCCCGATCGGGCATGTCGAAAGATCTGGCGTTTGTCTCTGCTTATAAACAATAATATTCTGCTCAGCAGAAAATGGTTTCTTCACCAATTCCCAAACAATATCGTTAGCTTCGAGTAAAGAAGAAGTCGACATGCTTGAATGACCTGAAGACGTGTTCATTCAGGCTGAAAGCTTCGAGCTAAGAGGCTGTGATCAGGTTGTGTTGCCCGTTTAGTCATGCAAATCGAAAATTGCATGACCAAGGCGTCAAAAACAGCCGCATTGCGCGTGCGCGAACGTCGTAAGCCAATCAGAAACCAACAAACCTAATATAAAATAATACAGCTAGTCATGAAATTCTGAAAGTGCATGACCAAAACACACAGCGAGCAAACCACGCAGCAATCACACACAATCTTTTTCCACGCGCTTACGCAACCGGTCATGCATGTGAAAATATGCAGGACCGCTCAGTTGCCAAGGTAACAAAGCCAAAATCAATAACATACGAGAATATTTAGCAAGAATATCGCCTAAAGACCATTGATTTGGGTAAACAAAATAATAAATAAAATACTTAGGCGTAGAAGTGCAAAGGTAAAGTATAATTCTATTGTAAACAATTATACTGAACTGATTTTTAAACATTTTTGGGGAAATTTTTAGTCATGCACTGCATGATCTGCATGACCGCTGGCTTCGCCACTGGTTTTAAGCCACCCTCGACGCCTAAGGAAGACGAAAAGTTTCAAATTTCCGACGAGGAACTTGATAAGTTTTTGAGTGTAGTGGACTGGTCTAAAATTGATAAAGAGGTGCAGCGACGTACTATCGCAGAAAAGTTTGTTTTGTCGAACAGTACATTCACCAACTGTTCCTTTAACATTTCGTTTGCCGGAAATAAGTAATACTAAGTCA